TCCTCGTCTTGAAAGCCCCCTTCCCATTCCAGAAGAAAGGCAGGGGTGGGCTGGGGGCAGGGAGGAGGGAGGTGGGAGGAGCACCCACTCAACGGGACCTGCGTTCCTGGAGCTGAAACTGCCCCGATTTACGGCTCCCCAAGCAGCGTGCTGAAGGGCAGCCAGTGTGGCTTACGTAGTTCCTGACCTCTGGGGGTGGCAGGATCATTTATTTTTTTAAATATATTTTTATTGATGTCAGAGAGGAAGAGAGAGGGAGAGAGAGAGAAACATCAATGATGCCAGAGAATCATGGATCGGCTGCCTCCTGCACGCCCCCTACTGGGGATCGAGCCCGCAACCCAGGCCTGTGCCCTTGACCGGAATCGAACCGTGACCTCCTGTTCATAGGTCGACGCTCAACCACTGAGCCACACTGGCCAGACAGGGTCATTTTTTAGATATGCCCTTTGTTTGCTCTTCACGTGGTAGGTGACTCAGGAGATTGAAAGGTGTTTCCCAGATGATAGCAGGGAGCTACAGCCAGGACTGCCGCTATCACCAGCCAATCAGTGCGCTGAAGGCCTGGGACGGACTCTCCCTCGCGGCCGTGGCAGGAACCGGTCTTGCCAACACCTTGATTTCGTCTCCTGGCCTCCAGACTGTGCGATATGCCCTTTGTTTACTCTTCACGTGGTAGGTGACTCAGGAGATTGAAAGGCATTTCCCTGATGACAGCAGGGAGCTACAGCCAGGACTGCCGCTATCACCAGCCAATCACCAGGCGCTGAAGGCCTGGGACAGACCAGTCTTGCCAACACCTTGATTTCGGTCTCCTGACCTCCAGACAGCACAACAGTAACTAGCCTTTGTTTAACCCCCCAGTTTGTGGCGCTTCGTTATGACAGCCCCAGCCGATTCCTGCAGTGGGTTTGGAGCAAAAGGACAACAGTTTGGTGCAGTCTCCAAGCCTTGCTTGGCCCAGGGGAGAAGGAGGCTGCCATTCAGGACCTGCGGGGCTGGGACGATGGGCATCTCAGCAGCTGCCCTGGGGGCGTTTCAGGGAGGACCACCCGGAAGGGGCAGCTGAGGCCTGAAGGGCAAGGAGGAGCTAGCAAGGCGAGAAGGGTGGGCCGGGGCTTGGACTGGGGGGCCGGCGCACCCCAGGGGGCCAGCCTGTAGGAAGGAGAGGGAGAGGCGAGAGGGAGGCAGGCCGTTCTGCAGGGACGGAGCCGGTCAGGATTCTGGACTTTTCCTAGGAGCCATGGGAAGCCTGGGGACGCAATGCCATCAGATTTGAAAGTGTGAAGTCACTGTAATTTAGGTGAGAAATGGGTTTAAGGAAAGAAAAAAGAGGATGAGAGGGGCCGAGGCTACCCCATCTGGCATCTTTCCGGGTAGATGGAGAGGAGCACCCCCAACTCTGGGAAGGAGGACCCAGAACTTGCAGGGAGGGGCCCAGGCCCCCAAACGCCTCTCCGAGGCCCTCCTTCCCTGAGCGCCCTCCACGCGGCTCCGCAGGGCTGACTCCCGCCTCTTCCTGGCTTTCGGGGCTTTGGGAGGCGCAGAAGTGGAACCGGACAGCAGGTCTGTGTAAACACTCCACCGCGGACTCGCTCAGAACAGGCCTTGCCGCTACGTCTGGGGAAATCGAACTTGACAGAGCAGGGAGGTCTGGACCGGGAACCTTGGGTGGGGCTCGTCTCCATAGCAACCAGAAACAGCTCCAGCCGTGCCCTGGCTCTGCCTCCTGATGGAGAAGCAGGGACTTGTGTTACCGAACATGACCCGCCCGAAATAGCTCCCTTCCACCTCACCAGGGCCCCTGCTGGCAGCTGCCACTCTGCCCACAGCTCAGCCCGCTCACAGCAGGATGGCAGGACGTGGAGGGTACCCGAGTTTCTCTCTCTCACTGGCTGCGTGAAAACAATCCGGTGTATCCAGCGTGAACTGGCTCCGGAACCCTCAGGTCTAAGAAATGCCAATTTTGGTCTTTTTCCTAAATGAAAGTTTATTAGGAGCTGCCCTTTGTCAAGAGGGTAAGACATGCGACCCCAGGCATCTCTGGAGGTGGTGCTGGTGTCCTCCATCTGGTAGCGGGTAATCTGTCTGTCCTGGTGTGAGCTCCATCCGGGCCCCTCGTAGGAGAGCTCTGGGACATAGGCTGAGGCTTGGGGGGCGGGGGGGACACCTAGGCCTCCAGCCCTTCTTATGCATCTTCCAGAGGAGACGGCAGGAAGGGAGTGAACGCTGGCATCGAAGGGGTGTGCGTTGGGTGTGGGGCTGGGTTTGACGCAGACCCTGCAGCTAAGGGCTATTTTCCTCCCGGGGAAACCAGCCCAGCCCAGCAGAGCCTCTGGACCTCAGCCCCTCCCAGCTCAGCCCGTCTTCCCAACAGCCTGCTGCTTGGCCACAGTCTGGGCCTGGCCTCATCCTGGGCCTGGGAGGAGGAGAGGGGAGGGGAGGCCCTTCAGTGGGTGCTCCCGGGGAGGGGACGGAGGAGGGGAGGACAAGGGTAGAGATGGTGTCTGCCTCGACCCTCCTGGGGTGTGCAGAGGGGCTGGGAGCGGTGAGGGGTGCAGGACGCAGCGGTCTGCAGCTGCCAGGAGCAGCGATGCTCCAGCCCGTTGCTCGGCCTGTCGTTTAGGGATCTGGAGTCATTTTCCCACAGAAACAAAGCACAAGTGGAGGTTGGCTCCCTGCCTGGCCCAAAGGAGCCAGATTCAGCCATAGCGACAGCCCCGGAGCCCTTCACACTCTGCCATTGTCTGTGCTGGCGCCGGCGGCAGCTTCGGAGACCACACATCCTGGGCAGCTCCGCCAGGGCTCTGGTGGCCATGGCAACTGGGCCAGGCTCAGGGCAGCTCTCATACAGGCTACTGCAACGCTGGGAAAGAGTGTGTGTTTGTGCATGTGTGTGCTTGCATGCGTGTGCATGCTTGTGTGCGTGCATGTGCATGCGTGTTTGTGCATGTGCGCGCGTGCATGTGTTCAGACATTTCTAAGCAAGGCCACACCTACGCGTGGAGCATGGAGCAAGTGTGCTGGACTGGGTAGCTGGACTGGGTAGGCTCCTGCATGTCTGTGCCTCAGTTTCTTCCTATGGAAATGGTAGTGGTAGAAGGTTTGGCCTACATGGAGGTTTCTAACATTTTTTCTTTTTTTTTTAACAGTTTCTCTTTTTTCCAAGCAATTTTCAGTAAAATCTATCTAATTAAAGTGTTGGCTACACCCAAGTGCCTAAAAGATTTCATTTAAAGTGGTTATTTCCATAAGCCAAATGCTGTTTTTTCTAACAATCAAATGTTAACATTTATGGTTTGGTGTTTGACTTAATTAAAAATATTTATTATAAAAAAAAAATAAAGTGTTGGCGGGGTGGTGAGGGGCTAGCCCTGCCCCACTGCCCCTTCCCAGCCTGCCACCTGCCCCACCTCGGGCACCTCTTAACTCCTGGTCTTCTCAGAACATTTTGAAAAGTACAACTGGATTCAGACACACAAATACAGGCAGACAGGCAGACCTACACGCTCATACAGGACACCCACACGCACAGACACACGGACAGACACACGCATACACAGAGACTCCCACACGCCATCCCGCCAGCTCTAGCATGATTCCAGAGTTAGAGGACGGGCAGGCGTGTGGATACCCCACAGTGGGGACCACACTGAAACCTGTGCCAGCTGTGCGGCCTGGGTGCCCGGCCCCTGCTCAGGGCTGTGCGGCTGCAGCGCACATGAGTGTTGGGAGCTGGAATCACTGCAAGTGGCAGGGACGCTGGCTGCAGACCTGACAAGTCAGACTGGAATTCCGCCAGGAAGCCCCAGTGCCAGGGGGGCGATGAGAAAGAGCCGGGGTGGTGGGAGGGGTGGTGAAAGGTGGGAGGTTCACAGCAGGTGAGCGGACACTAGGAAGCCCCACAGGCCCACCTCGTGAGGCCCCAGAGCCGCCTCCCTCATGGGCCCCAGCGGCTGGGTGAGCTGGGGGCCCTGGCTGCCTAGGGAACGGTGTTTTGAACCCAAAACACCAGGAGCAAGGAGGGCCCGCCCAGAAAAACAACATCCTGGCTGCGGGCTGAGGCAGGGCTGCGCAGGAGGGACTATTTTTAGCCGCCCAGGCAGCCAGGGCAGGACTTGTATGGCCTTGCTGTCTGGCTGCATAGCTCACCCATTGTCCTGCCTGACCTGGGCCGGGTGCAGAGAGGCCTCCGTCTGCCCTGGCCCTTCCTGCTGGGGCGTTCTCTGGGGTGCCCCTGGGCCACAAAGAACCGAGGGAGGGCGGGCTGGCCTGGAAACACTCACCAAGTAGCCTCAGGGAGCAGAATTGGGGCATCCCAGGCCACGATGGGGGTTTGGTGGCAGCAGGGGACACGGGGCCGTCCAGGCAGAGCAGCAGAGGCTCTGCTGGGGTGCAGGGCACGCGTCTCCCCAGCCTGGAGGCCGAGCACTGTCCCGGCTGCACAGCCGGGCGCGGGAGGTGAGGCAGAGCCCAGAGGACACAGGTCCCTTTATTGTAGATGTTCTGGGCTCCAGCCACACCCGCATCAGCTCAGTCACATCCTTCACGGGCTGAGAAGGTGTGTGAGTGAAAGCAACTCGGGTCTCAAGCCTTCTTGCCCACGCCCAGGAGCCGTGCCCTGTTCTCGGGGGTGTGATGTCTGCAGTTAGTCCTGGGCACAAACACCACAAGGCAGGTCCAGAGCGAGGCTGTGGCATTAAGGATGAAAACAGCTGATGGGAACCAGGCCGCCCAAAGCAAACACGTGGCAGCCAGAACGACTGTGGGGCTGGACCCCCACGGGAGAAGCCATCTCTAGCTGCCCCTGTCCAGAACCAGGGAGTAGGGCTGCCCCAAAGGGCAGGCACCCCATTTCAGCGCCCTCTTTGGGCTCCCTCCCTCCCAACAGGAATCCTGGGACCAGGGACTCTGTTCCCTTCTCCTGCCTTTCAAGACCGGCTCCTGAAAGATGAGAAACGCTGGGAAATTCTTGGTGGGCGGAGAGCAGGAAGGAGTCATTCACTCAACAAATGTTTATTGAGCACCTACTGTGTGCCAGGCACTGTCCTAGGCACCTGGAAAAGGAGGGCTTGGGGTGGCCTGGATCTGTCCTGGCTGTGGCTCTCTCTCCCGAAACAAGGCCTGCAGTGGGGGGAGGGGGGTCTGAGAGGCACTTGAGAGGGTCTGGGAGGCCAAGTGTTCTTTTAGAAATGAGGCTGCTGAGGACCCGTGGGCTGCGGAGACGTGCACGCCAGGAGCCGAGGCCCAGCGCCCGCATTACCTCCTCTTCAGCACTGATATGCAGGACTTCTTGAGGGGCCCGATCTGCAGGTGGGCGTCCACGCTCTCCAGGAAGAAAGCGGGCTTCAGCCGGCTCCTGAAGAGCCCCGGGAAGTGGCTGTCCAGGACGCTCTGGAAGGGGTCCCCGGGGGAGGCCGAGGGGCTGCTCCTGCGGGCCCGGGTGGCCTTCAGCCGGCGCAGAAGGCTCACCTTGCCGTCCCGCACGGCATAGAAGGCCAGGGCTCGGTCGGCATATTCCAGGCAGACCCCAACCGTGGGCGAGAAGGCGTGCGGCAGGGGCGCCTCCTGCCCGTGGAACCAGACGGAGAAGCCGCGTCCGTTCCACTGCAGGCAGCAGGAGTGGGCGTTGCGGCCGAGCCGGCCCCGGTCGTAGGGCTCTTGTGGGGAGAAATCTTCAGCCATGACGCCCACGCTGACCCAGCCCTCGATGATCTCTACCTCCCAGTAGTAGGTGCCCCGGTCCAGGGCGCCCTCGCCCAGCACCTGCTCGCAGTGCGTGAAGCGGGTGGGGGACTCGGGGTAGCTGATGGGACACAGCACCCTCTTCACGCCTTTCGTTCCGAACAGCTGCAGGAACTTGTCCGCCGTGTCACTGTCCAGGTCCACGATGTAGGCGACTGCTCCCCGGGCGGGAGAGAGACGCGGGGCTCAGGGGCAAGGCCAGAGAGGACACCCTCCCCTAGGTGCCCACCTCCCCAAGCACAGCCTCGCCCCACCTTTGCAGCCAGCACTACTCAGCCCTGCTGGAGAGCGCCCCATGAGCTGGCCTAGTTCACCCCATGGACAAGGAGGGACTCCAGGGCCAGGCCAGCCCTGCGGCCGTCAGGGGGCCCCGTGTGCGAAGGGCGGAGCCCAGGGTGCACTCACACTTGAGGAAGTAATCCCGGGGCACCTCGCTGTCCAGGTGGCTGCTGTTATCTGGGTCCTGGGACTCAGCGTCAGCTGCAGAGAGGAGACAGCGGAGGGGTCTCGCCAGCTCCCCGGGACTGGGCTGCTCTGCAAGGTGCCCCTTCCAAAGCCGTGACCCCCAATTCCCTCTTCCCCCAATTCCTCCCAGCAACCCAAGCCTCCTGGGACAGGCACACCGCCCAGGTAGGGTACCCTGGGTCACATGTATGCCTGGCCCTCGGAATCTGGCCCCCGCCCCACTTGCCCCCGGACCCCAGCCCCGCTGAAGTTAAAGGGGGGCGGGGAGAAGTCCCCCCCCCGCCCCGTCCCGTAGGCTACGGCCAAAGCGGCTGACTGGTCATTACGGGGTGGTGGCTCCAGTCGCTGGCAGGATTCGGGTTCTGCCCAGCAACAGGCCGTTTCCATCCTCTGCTCCTGCACGGGCACCGGGCCTGGGGGCCTGGGAGGGAAGCCTGGGGAAGGTGAGTCACTCGGAGGGGCACCCACCTTCTGGGCCGAGCTTGTGCGGCCCGTCCTCGTCACCGCTCAGCCCCCGCAGCTGCCCCCACTGGCTGGCGCAGGCCGCGGCCAGCACCTCTCTCACCGCCTTCACAGCCTGGGATGACTTAGTGAAGCCGAGCTCCCGCGGGGGACCAGGCCCGGGGCCGCACCCCTCCTCCAGGGCCAGCCTGAGTGCCAGCAGCTCCTGTGCCAGATACATGCCCATGAAGGCCCTGCGAGCCACAATGCCTCCCAGCGGGGGTGAGACAGCCCAGCCGGAGCCGGCACAGCCCTGAAGGCTCGGGCACCCGCTGCCGTCTCTCTCCGCCTCCCGCCCTCTCTGATCCCACAAGCGGCCCTCACCTGCAGGAAGCTCACTGAGTCGGCCTCGGGGACCTGGCTGAGGTTGTGGCGGGCCCGGCTCAGCCTGCTGCGCTGCTCCTCCTGCCGCCGAAGGTCCCCCTGAGAGCGGCTCAGCATGGCGGCCTCCCCCTCCTCGATGAAGCCCAGCACCTCCTTCTGGAACCCCTGCAGGGTGGCTGCAGCCTCCGCAAACAGCTGGCTCACCCTCTCCCGCTCAGCCACGGCTGCGCTCTGCACCGGACAGTGGGAGCGGCGGGGAGGGCACAGACCATCACTGTTTGGGCCCCATCCTTCCAGACCCCCCTCTCCCACCCCACCCTCTGGGAGGGGCAGAGGGACCCGCCGGAGCCGCCCTGGGTCTCTGCCAGGTCGGGGGAGACACTCGTGCTCAGGGGGACTGGGCAATGCCCTGGGCACAGGCCTCCTTGGAGGGGACCAGACCACGCTGCGAGCTCACAGTGCCAGGAGCCTCCTGCAGGAGGGGACGGGGTCAGGGTCGGGGCTGACCTTGATGAGGGCCACGGTCCGCCGGGACTGGGCAATGCCGGCGCCCAGCTCATCCATGCGGTCCTCCACGGCACTCAGCACTTTGGGCTGCTCAGCCTGTGGGTGACATCTTCATGAGTACGGCGCCTGGCAGAGGCCACAGCCTGCCCTGGGGTCCCAGGCCTCACCCCGGGGTGGGGCAGGGCAGGGGCGACGTGGGCATGGTATCGGTGCACCGGTGGGATTCGGGGTGGCCGTGATGTCCCACAATATGTCAGAGGGCGGGCCTCAGGCCGAGGCGGGAGACGTTCCCAAATGCCCAGGGGGAGCAGAGTCTGGCTGGGGCTGTCTGCCTCCCCTCTCTGACCAGCGGGCAAGTACAAGGCCACCCGTGGTCCTCAATGTCACATTCACTTGAGAACTTCCTTCGGTGGAGAAGAGGCAGAGAACGGAGGGAGCAGGGGCTGCACAAGAGGCCATTCGGCTGTCCTGGGGACCCCTGTCCCCAAAGAGTCCGTGTCCCCAATCCAGGCCTTAAAAATGGGAATTCCGGGCAAATCCCCCTGGGTCTTATGAGTCACGGCGGCTCAGGCTGGAGACACGGAAAATCCCAAGGCCAAAGCGCCAAGACCGGGCTGGAGGCCAAAGGAAACTGGGGGCGGAGGCAGCAGGAAGGACCGCGCACATGGTCCCACCACTGGCCCCAGAACAGCTGGACAGAGCGGTCTGTGTGCTCCACCGGCCGCACTCCAGTGGCTGCCACACCCATCTAAACCCGCGGCCTCCGCGCTGGGCGAACCTGGAGCCCGGACCCGCACGAACTGGCCAGTCTCATCAGCTGCCCAGGAGCCGCAGGGCCTAATCCAGATCCCTCCTGCCTTAGACCCCCATGGGCCCCGCCTGGGCTTCAGGCCCCCTGCCCACCCTCCGCGTCCTTTTCGCGTTCTCGCTGGGTCCCCGCATCAGCCCATCCCATCGCGAGCGGAATGACGTTGTCAGGGCTGGAAGGGACAGCAAAGACCCTCAACTTCCAGGAGAACATGAACAAAATGGGAAGGAGGGGGGGCGGGG